GGGTCAAGCTAGCCCTGCCTGAGCTGTTTCTGGAGGGTGTGTGATTTCCTAAGACCATCAGAGCCACCAGAATGTGTGCTCATATCACCGCTGCCTCCTGCTAGGGACTCAAGCTGCCTGTAGAATCTGGCTTCCCCATCCTCCTCTCAAGGAATACCCTGGTGACAAGGAGAAACTGAGGCACAGGCAGGGTGGTAGTGCAAAAACTCAGCTAGCTGGGGCCTGCAGCCAGGCTCACCCGCTCTCACCCTTCAGGCTGGTTCCCCTTGCTATGGCCTGGGGCGGATGTAGCGTGAGGTGATTTGTATGTGAGGGGGTGTTGAAAGTAAAGGCACCTCCTAAATTCAGGAAGATTCCTCCCTCCTTGGGGTGATCTTGACTTGAAGATGGTGCTTAGGAGCGCCTGGGTGGCTCAGTTGTTAAGCGTCTATCTTCGGCTCAGGTCATGATCCCAGGGTCCTGGGATCGAGCCCCACATCGGGCTCCCTGCTCAGTGGGAAGCCCGCTTCTCCCTCTCCCACTCCCCCTGCTTGTGTTCCCTCTCTCGCTGTGTCTCTCTCTGTCAAATAAATAAATAAAATCTTAAAAAAAAGAAGAAGAAGAAGATGGGACTCAGTGCCCACCTGAGATACGGACAAGCAGATTCGGGAGTTGGAAAGTGATTCTGACCCACAGGCACAGACCTTTGCCAATTTTTTGGACCTTCCCCACCATGCTGAGAGCCAGGTATCATTCCTGTTTGTGAGATAAGGAAGCTAAAACTCAGAAAGATTAAATAACTATCCAAAGGTCAGTCAGCTGTTAATTGATCCCACGTTCTCTGAATTAAAATTCAGTAGGTAGCTTATTTGACCAGGCTTCCTTCTTTTCTTCCCAAACTAGACTTTAAATCAGATTTCTTTTCTTTTTTTTTTAAAGATTTTTAGAATTTTTAAGTAATCTCTATATCCAACGTGGGGCTCGAACCCGCAACCCTCAAGGTCGAGAGTCACAAGTTCTATCAACCGAGCCAGCCAGGTGCCCCTTGATCTATATTTTCTTTTCCTTTTTTAAAAAAGATTCATTTATTTATTTTATTTATTTTTTAAATTTTATTTGTTTATTTGACAGAGAGAGAGAGAGCGAGAAAGGGAACACAAGCAGGGGGAGTGGGAGAGGGAGAAGCAGGCTTCCCGCCGAACAGGGAGCCCGACGCGGGGCTTGATCCCAGGACCCTGGAATCATGACCTGAGCTGAAGGCAGACACTTAATGACTGAGCCACCCAGGCGCACCTCATTTATTTATTCTAGAGATAAAAAGCATGTGTGTGTGCGCACACCACACACACACACACACACACACACACACACACACACACACACGCGGGTGGGGGGAGGGGCAGAGGGAAAGAACCTCAAGCAGACTCCCCACTGAATGCAGAGCCCAATGCGGGGCTCAATCCCATGACCCATGAGATCATGACCTGAGCCAAAACCAAGAGTCCAATGCTCTACCGACTGAGCCACCCAGGCACCCCCTGATCTGTATTTTCTCATGCTCTGCACCATGTGTCCCCATGAAACCTATTAAAGCGCCTTACCCTAAAACATACACACACACACACACACACACACACAAATAAGCAAAAGAAACAATTGAATGACTGAATGAATGAATCCCCACATCCTGGTAGCAAGAAAAGAGTAGAAAATCTAAATTTGGAAGTGGAGAGAATTGAAATATTTCTGTTCTGAGGCTTTTCTTATAAAAGAGCATGTGTCAGTTTTTTAAGGTTTGTTTATTTTTTTTTCAAAGATGTTATTTATTTGACACAGAGAGAGAGCACAAGTGGGGGTAGCAGCAGAGGGAGAGAGTGAAGCAGACTCCCCACCCAGCAGGGAGCCCCATGCGGGGTTTGATCCCAGGATCCTGGGATCATGACCCAAGCCAAAGGCAGATGCTTAACCACCTGAGCCACCCACGTGCCCCAAAGTTTTGTTTGTTTAAAATGATACACATTTATAAGTCATTGAGTCAGTGTGGGCCCTACAGTTTTAAGGTGGCCTTGGTTATGTGCCTACTGCAGTCAGCTGGGGACTTAGCTGGAAGGTCCGATGATGCTTAGCTTTGCTGAGCTCATAGAGGCTCTTTCACGTGTCTTGAATCTTGGCTGAGATGGATCCGCTGACCAGCTCTGCTCCATGAGGACTCTCATCTATCAGGAGGCTAGTCTGCACTTACTCGTGGAGGCTGTAGGGGTCTAAGCGTGTGAGCAGAGGCACACAAGTTCTCTTGAGTCGGAAGCTAGGAAGTAATACAACATCACACCTGCCTCGTTGGAGATCAGCTCAGAATCAAAGTGTAGGGAAAAAGTCTCCACTTCCGGGAAGACCTGCAAAGTCACTCTGCGAAGACCATGGATATAAGAAAGCATGAATCACTGTGGCCGTTTTCCCAATCTACAGTAGTGGTCTTACATATTTGGAGAGAAACTATTAGCAACTTTCCCAAGCAACTTGCTGCTCTGAGATTTTCCTTAAAGAATCAAGGACTTTTTGTCTATATCATTATAATTTCAGAAATGATTTATTATGTGAAGTTTCAAGGTGCTTACATATAGTTTTCCTCTTGCTGCCCTCAGTATGGCATAGTCAACAAGTTCTGGCCCCTGCACTTACACATGTCACTTGAGAAAGACAGACAGAAGGTCATAAACACATAGTCATACACACATTTGGGACCCCCACGTTCACCCTGCCCTGCTGGCCTATTGTATAGACAAAGTTCTGCATGTCAGCCCACCTAGTTCCAAAGACCTGCTTCTTTTCCCAATTACACAACCCTCCTCCACACATGGGTTTGATTGAAGACAGTCTAAGAAAGGACCCTGAAAGTGTGATTAGGGTTTCATTGCAGTTAGCCCTTGTCACCACATGGTGGCGCTGTTGAAACTTTGTCCTGCATAGCCTTTTGGACACCGATTTCCTGCGAGGTTCCGGATGCTTTCACAGCCAACGTGGGGATTTAAATTTCCATTGTAAAGTATACGGTTTATACTCCTTCAGCCGTTATTTCCCAAAGATCAATACCCTCAGGTTTTGCCTGGATTCCAGAACACCTCCGACCTGAGCCACATGCTGAGTCCAGACCAGCCCAGTCCCTGCAAACCCTCAGGACCCGCTTGATAACCCCAGCAGCAACAAACACGGGCACCATATTAAGAATTCTTCATGGATTACATAATTTCGTTTAAGGAGAGCTCACACCTTATGGAAAGGGCATGCTACTGAAGACGTCGGATAGTTCAAGACTTAAGTAATTTGACACTGTCTTTTCCAGAAGAATCATTATAAAACGGTGGGGAGAGGAATCTTCAACCACTGCAGAATATTTGTGCCTTTGTGCTATTTTTTATTTACTAAACACTAAAATCTCTAATATTTCATGGCGCAGGGACTCCTAAATTAACTGCTTGGCATGTCACGACAGTTCTTGGGGCTTTTTCATAGTGTTTTATCTAACTTCCATTACAAAGTTATTGATTTTGGACTGTGTCTTTTTGGCACTCATGCCGGCACTTAATGAGCTCTGAGAAAATATCATTCTAGGATGCAGAAAATATTTTAAATGATAATGCTGAATATGAAACAACAGCACATTAATCTTTAGCATCCACTCTCAGAGTTATGACGTATGTACATAAACAATGGCTCGGTTCAACAATTCAAAACGAACATTCATAGCCGTTATTTACTTTTGCCAGCTCAAGGGACATTGCCACGTGGCAATGATTGTGAACGCAGTGCACAGGCCCTCTTGACTCACCAATTTTGAAATCATGTAACCTTGGTGATTTTTTCTACATTTAAGGAGATTTGGGGGCACCTGGCTGGCTCAGTCGGTACAGCATGTGACTCTTGATCTCAGGGTTGTGAGTTTGAGCCTCATGTTGGGTGTAGAGATTACTTAAAAATAAAATCTTAAAAAAAAAAAGAATTTAGGGGGATTTGCAATTTTTCACATTTGCTTAACTCAAATTCACATAATAGCACCACACCCATTATATCCCCTTTTTGTAGATGAAGAATGAAGTCTTAGATAGAAAGCAGCTAATCTCATATGTGGAATTTAAGAAACAAAACAGAGGATCAAAGGGGGAGGGAGGGAAAAATAAAACAAGATGAAGTCAGAGAGGGAGACAAACCATAAGAGATTTTTAACTCTAGGAAACAAACTGAGGGTTGCTGGAGGGGAGGGGAGGGGGAGTGAGGGGGTGGCGTAACTGGGTGATGGGCATTAAGGAGGGCATGCGATGTAATGAGCACTGGGTGTTATATAAGACTGATGAAGCACTGACCTCTACCTCTGGAACTCATAATATACTATATATTATTTAATTGAATTGAAATTAAAAAAAAAAAGGCGTTAATCTACAAAGGGGCACCTGGCTGGCTTAGTTGGAAGAACAAGTGTCTCTTGATCTTGGGGTGGTGAGTTCAAGCCCCATGTTGGGTGTAGAGATTACTTAAAAATGAAACCTTTAAAAATTAAAAAAAAAATTAGGGGGATTTGCAGTTTTTCAAATTTGCTCAACTCAAATTTACATAATATATAAAGCACCACTCCCATTCTATCTCCTTTTTGGAGATGAAAAATGAGGTCTTAGAAAGCAGTTAATCTACAAAGAGGCACCTGACTGGCTTATTTGGAAGAGCAGGTGGCTCTTGATCTCGGGGTGGTGCATTTGAGCCCCACATTGGGTGTAGAGATTACTAAAAATATAGTAATAAACTTAAAAAAAAGAAAGCCATTAATCTACTCCTTTAAGGCCTCATGGTTGATGAATGACAGAGTGGGGAGTAGACCCCAGTGCTTAGTAACATAGGTGCCCTTTCTCTCGAGGTAATTTCATTTTATTTATTTTATGTATTTATTTAGTTTTATTAAAGATTTCATTTTATTTTTTTTAAGTAGGCTCCACGCCCAATGTGGGGATTGAACTAACGACCCTGAGATCAAGAGTCGTGTGCTCCATGGACTGAACCAGCCAGGTTCCCCCGCCCCCCCAAGATGGTTTCATCTTTGAGAACTTACTGATATTCCTTGCCCTAAGCCTTGGTTGAAATTCCACTCATACATCCCAAAAGCTTTCTGCAGTTTTGAATCTTAGAAAGAAATGTTAGGGAAATATGAATCCCCTTATTCCAGAAAAACCCTTATACAAGTTGGAACACTTCCTCCCTCCTGCCTACTGAGGCTACTCAGGGAGGGGCAGCCTGTATAGAGAGGCATGGATGCTTCTGGTATTTCTTCCTTCAGGACAGGGGCTGCCTACCATCTGGTTAACTAAGAGGGGCCAGTCAAGTGACTTCTTGAAATAGAAAGTCAGCTTCAAGTGACCGAGACAAAAGACTAGCATTTTACAAATTCCTCTCATTGCATTTTTTGTTTTGTTTTGTTTTCAAATGACCCTTTATTGAAATATTTTCCTTTGCAGTTCTTAACTAGCAGGGCATTCCACTGCACCACGATCGATGTCATCTAAGATGTTACGAGGGCGGTGGCCATCAGCATTGCAGCCCACAGACTGCGCAGTCCCCAAGATCTCTTTAATGGTTCCAGAGAGTTCTCAGGCTAAAGATTGGTGCCGCATTTGTCAGGCAATGTTGACAATCTCATCAAAAGTGATATTTCCACTGTGCTTCATGTTTGTCTGCTTCTTTCTGTCTCTTGGCGGTTCCTTGAGGGCTCTGATAATCAGGGCAGAGGCAGAAGGTACCACTTCAATCTGAGCCTGTCTGTTCTGAACGATCAGCATCACTGTCATCCACAAACCCTTCCAATCTCCAGTCACCCGTTGCCTTGGCGATGTCATCACCAATCTCTCTTGGAGACAGACCCAGGGGGCTGATCTACCAGGCTAGGGCAGACCCGGAACTAACTTCCTCACCCGTGCACCTCAGGTATACAACTTTGATCTTGTTGGGGTCCAACTTAGGCAGCAGGGTGGAGGTGGCTGGTGTCGGGTGAACCCGGATTCGTGATGACAGAAGACAGTTGCACCTTCGCCTCCTCCCAGCCGAAAGCCGAAAGTTCCTTGCATATTTAATCCTGCTGTTGATGAGCAACTTAGCACACGTGCACACTCAGAGACATGTAAGTACACACATACTTTTGTTCATATGTGTATGTACACATAGGCTGATACAAGAGTCACGGATACGCACATACACTCACATTCACTCATGTGTACAAAAGCACGTGCACACCAGCCTCTGGGAGGGTGTGCCAGAGTGTCAGGGCAAACTTTACATGCAGTCCAACCCAGCCCCAATCCCGGAGGAGGGCCTCCTGGACATGGAGGAGCAGGGAACATTCCCCCACGGTGAGAATTTCAGAGCCAGTCAGCACTAATTACAAAGCATGGAGTAGGCTCATCCATCATCCCGGAGCGACAGGCTGGCCGCTGCGCAGCCGCCTCCCGGGCCCCTCCCCCACTGCACTCCATTTCTCCTTGAGGGACCGCAGAATGTCTCCCCCGAGGACCAAGCGTGGTAGCCTCGGTCTTGTCCAAAATCATAACTAGGGGCATGCCCTGGCTCTGCTGCTAGCTCGCACCTCTTCTCTCTGCTCTCTGGGGGAGCTCCTGGGACACTGCCCCAGTCCCCTTCCATGCATTACCCCCTTCCAAATGCGTCGTACCATGTGCTCCTCACTGGGCTTCGTTTTCAGTATTTCGCTGAAACTTTGCAATAATCCTGCGACTTGATATTGTTTCGCCAGGTTTACAAACGCAGAAAAGGAACCTGTGACGAAATCATTTGCTCGGGGTCACCTAGCTAGGAGGGCTAGCAAAGGTGTTCAAACCAGATTTGGCTACTTGCATATCCCAGGATCTCAGTGCCCCCTCCACTGCCCCCCACCTCCCTGCAGCTGCTTATTGCTGACATTTCCTCTTGGAAGACCTACCGGGCACTTCTTCCTCATCTTCTCTCCTAAATCAGCTAAAGAGCCAAAGTCTGACGGAGTCCCACAAGTTGGGAGGCCAAATACCAGCCTCAAGGGCCAAGGTGAGGGGCTGAGCGGAAGATGCCTGGCAACTGAGCCAGTCAGCATGAGATGGGCAAGGTTCTAGCGGTGACTCCACTGCAGGCCAGGCTGGTGTGGTCGCACTGGCGGGACTCGGCTGGCTTCTGGACATGGTGTCAGAGCCAGCCTGTCAGCCCTGGATCCCCAACCCCCCGGCCGTCTAGCTCTGCTTCCTGGGGACTGAGTGTGCTGGAGCTGTCTCTGGGGCCAGAGCAGTGTGGGCCTCCCTGGAAAAATCTGCTCCCCTGCTGAAATAATTTTGAAAGCCTCCTTGAAGGCAGAGACCATGTCTTTTTGTCATTATCCCCGGCTTCAAGCATGGAGCCCAGCACCTCCGGAGCGGGTACTCAGTGCGTATCAGCTACAACAAAACCAAGCACAACGACAATAAGTGCCTTTCAGAACCTTGTCCACTTACTGAAATGCTGCCATTCTTCTGAGTCCAGGGCAAACCCCCATCCCCCAGCAGGGTGCTCTGCTCTTCCCAGCCAATGGCTCTCCCCCTCCTCCAAACACGGTGCTAAGCATCCATTGCTTTGTATAATCTGTCACATGGCCGTGAGTGTTTGCCTTTTCACGCCAGCTACTAGGAAGCTCCTCGGGAACCTGACTTACATTGTTGTACCCTGGCACCTTCTGTGCCTATAAATGTGCAGCAAATGCTTTTGATTCCAAGTGTACAACATCCAGGGATGCCTGGCTGCCTCAGTCCGTAGAGCGTGAGATTCTTGCCGCGGGGTCCTGAGTTCAAACCCCACATCAGGTGGGTGTAGAGCTTACTTCATTAAAAAAAAAAAAATGGTTGTTTTTTTTTTTGTTTTTTTGTTTGTTTGCTTGCTTTTAAACCCACAAAGTGTACAATGTCCATATTTGGGTAAAGATTTTACTTTATAATGATGACATTGATGTTATTCTTAGTTAATGTATCTCCTCAGGAAACCACTAGAGGAAGGAATACCAAAGCACAGCTCCTTGTGGTTATTATCAGCCAGAATTTTGCCTTCCAAGTTATCTCTCAACCAGGGAATTACACGTTTGTGTTTGGGTGGTCTTTCTTCCTCACTGCTGCCCATCCCCTGCCCCCACCCTTGATCCCTGGGGTCAGGATTTAGGACTCCATGGATGGGCTGCTTCAGTCAGAACTGGGGGGGGAGGGGGGATGGTTCTGTACCCGTCATGGAAGTAAACATCTGGAGTCTGGAATTTTAGCTGTAGGATTAAACACTGTGACAGCCTGGCAGATAGATCGTCTTTCCTTATCTAGTCAAATGGGCCACCTAAAGAGAATCTGTACTCTGTTATTGTTCTGGGGGGGAGGGGTCTTTTCCTTTTCCCTCTAACTGATATGTAGTATCTATAGAATTCTCATGCCCAAACACCTGAGATGTGTAACCTAACAAGTATTTACATGCAGAAAAAGCAAATAACCATGATGCTGACCCAAAGGAGAGAACCAGTTTCTGATACTAACTAGTTCTGGATAGGAAACACCATTCTTTTTTTTTTAATTCTTTTTTATTTTCAGAAACACCATTCTTCCAGCATCATTTACAATAGCTAAGAGGTGGAATTAACCTAAATGTCCATTGGATGAAGAATGTGTGGATAGGGGCGCCTGGGTGGCTTCAGTCAATTAAGTGTCTGCTCAGGTCATGATCTCAGGGTCCTGGGATCGAGTCCTGCATTGGGCTCCTTGTTTGGTGGGGAGCCTGCTTCTCCTCCCTCTGCCTCTGCCGCTCCCCTTGCTTGTGCGTGCTCTCTCTCTCTGACAAATAAGTAAAATCTTTTTTTTTTTTAGATTTTATTTATTTATTTGACAGAGAGAGACACAGCGAGAGAGGGAACACCAGCTGGGGCAGAGGGAGAAGCAGGCTTCCCACCGAACAGGGAGCCAGGCACGGGGCTCGATCCCAGGACCCTGGGATCATGACCTGAGCTGAAAGCAGACACTTAACAACTGAGCCACCCAGGCGCCCCTAAATAAGTAAAATCTTAAAAAAAAAAAAAAAAGAATGTGTGGATAAAGAACATGTGGGGTATACATCCAATAGTATATTATTCAGCCTTCAAAAGGAAGGAAATCCTGCCGAATGCTACTACATGAACTTGTACTTCGGGACATTATGCTAACTGAAAGAAGCAGGTGACAAAAAGACAAATACTGCATGGTTCTACATATGAGTTATGTAAAGCCGTCATGCTCTTAGGCACAGAAAGTAGAATGCTGGTTGCCAGGGGTGGTAGGAGGAGGCGGGAGGGGGGCGGCTCTCGTTCAGTGGATGCAGTTTCAGTTTTGCAAGATAAAAGGTTTTAGAGATCATTGCATGAGAGTGTACATATATTAACAGTCCTGTTCTGTACACTAAATGTGGGTTAAAAGGGTAAATTTTATGTTATATGTGCTTTATCACAATAATAATAAAAAAGCACCATTCCTGGGTCACAACTTTGTCCCAGGGATTTCCTTGGTAAAATACTCACCACAACCCATTCAATGGGTGTTGTTTTCCTTGCTTCATACATGAAAGGAAAGGAGAAGTCCGGAGACGTATTTGAGCCCGTGGCCACCTGGCTTCAGCAGCCACGCTTTCTACCCAAGCAGCCTACTCTTCCATCCGCAGGTGGGATGGGCCTGCTGACCATCACTCTCCAGGTAAGAGCAGTGAGTTGGGGGCATGAGTTCAGACAGGTTTCTCTGGTGTTGCAAGGCCAGACTTTCCATGCAAACCACCTCCCCAACCATATCAACGGTGCCCCCCGATATATGTTCCCCGACTTCTTCCTTTGTAATAGAACCCCTGGTTTTCAGCTGGTGACTTGGCCAACGGAACTAAAGACTTCTCCCTGAAGGTAGTTGTGGACATGTGGCTAGGTTCTGGCCAGTGGGATGTAAGCAGAGGTATCAAGGATAACTTTTGAGAGGGGTCCTTAACATAGGGGCACACCCTTCTTTAGTCCTTCCTCTTGTGCAGGCTGGAATTTTTAAAACATGATGGCTGGAGCTTGAGTAGCCACTGTGGGTCCTGAGGTAGAATCAAATCTGAACCTATGATTCAAACCACAGCGTGTTGATGCCGTCATGTGAAACCCTGGCACACAGTGAGCACATGTGAGTAATCAGTGCTGCGTATGCTGCATGTGGGGGACATCTGAAGGCATCCCATTGGTGCTGCCATGTATAGTATGATCCTGATCCTTCAGTGCTTATGAATGGATGAAATCACAAGGCATTTACCGATTGGAAGCAAACGGCCATTGACTTCTCCCAATGTCCCATTCATTCCTTCAGTAAGTATTAACTGTGAGCCTACTAGCTGCCAGGCCCTGTTTTGGCACTGAAAATAGAGTGTCAAACAAGACAAACAGAGTCCCTGTCCCCTCAGCACATGTGCTCTTATGGACAGATACTGTCTTCCTTCCATTTTCTACCACGTGATACGAAATGTCCCGGTACATGTAAAGGGTGCTGGGGAAGGACCAAAATGTGGGAGGGATTTTGAAATGTGACCAAGGAGGAGCAATTTTCTTTTGCCCCAGATTTCTTCAGAATATCTATTTCGCAGGGACATAGGGGGATGTTCCTGCCTTGGCCCGTGTTGGGGGTTAGGATTGGGTGAGGGCAACAATATGAAATTGATAAACTCCCCTAAGATTCCACCAACTGGGCCAGTTCTTTACATTTCTCTGGGGCCCCAGAGGGCCCCAGCTACCAAACAAGGATTCCTGGTAACAGTAATGGCAAATGTGGTAAGTTCACTAGTGGGGACCTGCATTCTCCAAACCAAAATCATGTCACAAGGTCTAAGAAGATCCCATACCCATGTGGTCCACGAAAACGGAAAGGTTTTGAACTCAGAACCCTACTAGAATATAGATTGGGAACCTATGACATGTATCATATTATCCATGCCCATCCCTCTAAAATCCTGTTGCTGCTAAAAATTACTAGAAACCCAGCAGCCCATTATAGCACCCTTCATGATAGCCAAGATGAAGGAACAACCTACATATTCATCGACAGATGAATAGGTAAAGAAGGGGTGCCTGGGTGGCTCAGTCATTAGGCGTCTGTCTGCCTTTGGTTCAGGTCATGATCCCAGGATCCTGGGATTGAGTCCTGCATCGGGCTCCCTGCTCAGAGGGGAGCCTGCTTCTCCCTCTCCTTCTGCCTGCCACTCTGCCTACTTGTGCTCTCTGTCAAATAAATAAATAAAATCTTTAAAAAAAAAAGAACTGGTAAAGAAAATGTGGTTTAGCTATATATACAATGGAATACTAGTCAACCTTAAAAAAGAAGGGAATTTTGCAAAGGCAACAACATGGATGGGCCCCGAGGACATTATGCTGAGTGAAACAAACCAGACGCAGAGAGACAAGTACTGCATGATTCCACTTCTCCGAGGTATCTAAAATAGTCAAGCTCTTAGAATCCAGGAGTGGAATGGTGGCTGCCAGGAGCTGGAGCGAGGGCAAATGAGGAATTACTAATCAACTGGCCTAAAGTGTCAGTTAAACGAGATGAGTAAGTTCTGGAGATCTGCTGTAAGACATTGTGTCTGTAGTCAACAATACTGTATTGGCCACTTGTAAATTTGTGAAGAGGGTAGATCTCATGTTAAGAGTTCTTAGCACAGTGAAATAAAATAAAATAAAAATCTAGCAGTGAGCCAACTATATCTAGATGAAGCTAGGTGTTCTGATTAGTGCTTCAGGGAAATTTTCATTCCATCTGGGGAGATATAACAAGGGAAAATGAAGGGCACAGTCTTTGCTGTTGGGGAGGCTTTCGGTGTGGTGGGGAATCAGATATAAAATAACCACAACCAGGACCCCTGACTGGCTTAGTCGGTTGAGCATCTGACTTGGGCTCCAGTCACGATTTCAGAGTCCTGGGATCAGCCTGGCATCTGGCTCCTCTCTCAGTGGGGAGTCTGCGTCTCCCTCTCCCTCTGCCCCTCACCCCTGCTCGTACTCTCTCAAATAAATAATTTTTTTTAAAGATTTCATCTATTTTATTTGTCAGACAGAGAGAGAGAGAGCACGAGCAGGGGGGAGTGGCAAGCAGAGGGAGAAGCAGATTCCTTGCTCAGCAAGGACCCCAACTAGGGACTCAGTCCCAGGACCCTGGGATCACAACCCCAGCAGAAGACAGACGCCCAACTCACTGAGCGACCCAGGCATCCCTAAATAAATAAAATCTTAAAAAACAAAACAAAACACCATAACTGCGCAAGGCAGAGGGTGCAGCTAAAAAGGCAGGTAGAGACAAGTTTGGAAGGCCGTGAATGCTGTGCTAAAAACTTTGTTCTACATCCTTTTTTTAAAAAAAGTTCTACATCCTTTATTTATTTATTTATTTGTCAGAGAGAGAGAGAGAGAGAGCACACAAGCAGGGGGAGTGGCAGAGGCAGAGCGAGAAGCAGGCTTCCCGCTGAGCAGGGAACCCGATGCAGGACTCCATCCCAGGATCCTGGGATCATGACCTGAGCCGAAGGCAGACGGTTAAGGACTGAGCCACCCAGGGGCCACAAGGGAGAGAGAGTCTAAAACAGACTCCATGCTGAGCCAGACTTGGGGGCCAGATCTCATGACCCTGAGATTAAGACTTGAGCCCAAACCAAGAGTTGGAAGCTTAACCGACTGGACCACCCAAGTGCCCCAGGACTATATACTTTTTAAGAAGGTCTAACCTAGGAGTACCTGGGTGGCTCAGTAGGTTAAATGTCCAAATCTTAATTTTGGCTCAGGTCATGATCTCAGGGTCCTGGGATAGAGCGCTGGGTGGGGCTCCATGCTCAGCGTGGCGTCTGCTTGAGATGCTCTCTCCCTCTCCCTCTCCCTCTGCCCCTCCCCACAGTCTCTCTCTCTCTCTCAAAAAAAATAAATAAAATCTTTAAAAAATTTTTAAAGTATGGGGCGCCTGGGTGGCCCAGTCGTTAAGCGTCTGCCTTCAGCTCAGGTCATGATCCCAGGGTCCTGGAATCGAGTCCCACATCGGGCTCCCTGCTCAGTGGGGAGCCGGCTTCTCCCTCTCCCACTCCCCCCTGCTTGTGTTCCTGCTCTCACTCTCTGTCAAATAAATAAATAAAATCTTTTAAAAAATAAATAAATTTAAATATATGTAAATGGAGTCCAGAGGGATCATTATCCCCTTGAGATGTACACCAAAACACAAAACAAGACACAGATTTCTCTGGAAAGAGTTACCCATAACTTCCATCACCTTCTTAAAAAAGGGGTCCATGATCCAGTAAAGGTTAGGAAGTACTAGGGAGCCATCACAATTTGGGGCAGATGAAAGATCTGAAGTTTGTGTTGTGGATTCACCCTCTGATGGAGCCGGCTGGGGAGGGGGGTAGTTAGGGGAGAGTTTTCGGAGGCTGATACAAACCCCCAAGAGGGATATTCAGCCGGCAGGGGAATGGAGAAAAAAGGACCATCTGAGAGGTAGCATGCACAGGATTTAGGGCAATTGGATGAAAGTGGCATAGGAAAAGAGAGGTAAAGTTTAGAATTATGGCTAGAATTCTAAGGAAGAAGATATAAAAGAAATGGGACTGACTTTTAAATGACACAATTGCTTTTTTATTTATTTTTATTTTTATTTTTGAGGTATAGTTGACATTCTATCTGCATAATTTCTTTTAGTCTGCCGGAGACAGAAGGAATATTTTCACAAATCCAGCCCAGGGTGCCTTTCAAACCACAAGCTACTAGGCAGTTTGCCAGAATTTCGTTTTAGCCTATGGTGCGTTTTGATGGGAGAGTCAAACACACTATTCTCATCCTCTACATCATGTGATTCTCATCCAGAAATTCTGTAAGATCCTAATGGCTTAGCAAGAACCCTAGAGTTACCTGTTTACCTATAGGAAGATGGTGTTTCAGTGGGTCACCTCAGAGCCTCCCCGACCTTTGTAAATACAGAAGGTATCTCCTACGGTTCTATAGAAACAAGCCACGTGGGACAGGTTATTCCAATCTCCACAACAAATAAGGAAGGGTGAAGAGGACTCCAAGGTTTTCAGCTGGAGTTATTGTGTTATGATTTTCATGGTGAAATAGAACGTAGGGAGAGAAGCAGGTCTGTGGGAAAAGTGAGGGTTTGATAATCAAACTGGGTTTGGGCAAACTGAATCCAAGGTATCTCTGAGACACTTTTTTAAAGATTGATTGATTGATTGATTGATTGATTGATTTGGGGGGAGGGTGCGGAGGGGCAGAGGGAGAGAGAGAATCTCATGCAGACTCCCCGCTGAGTGCAGAGCTTGACTCTGGGCTTGATCCCATAACTCCAAGATCATGACCTGAGCTGAAATCAAGAGTCAGACACCCAACCGACCGAGCCACCCAGGTGCCCCCAAGGTATCTCTGAGACATTTTATCAGCTGGGAACCTTTGGGTTGTGGGTGACAGCATCCTGAAACCTATGTGAATAGAAGAGGGATTGTGTTGGCTTATATAACTAAAAACTCGGGGCACCTGGGTGGCTCAGTCGTTAGGCGTCTGCCTTCGGCTCAGGTCATGATTCCAGGTCCTGGAATCGAGCCCCGCATCGGGCTCCCTGCTCGGCGGGGAGCCTGCTTCTCCCTCTCCCACTCCCACTGCTTGTATTCCCTCTCTCGCTGTGTCTCTCTCTGTCAAATAAATAAATAAAATCTTTAAAAAAAAATAACTAAAAACTCAAGAGGTCCTACTGCAGGCATGGCTGTATCAGGTTCTCAAATAATGTTATCAGGCATCTGTTTCTCCCCATCTCTTGCCTCCTTTTTCTCTATTATGTTTTCATTTTAGACGGATTCTCCTCCACATTGCAGCAGTCAGGCCCACCAGCAGTTTCCAGCTTACCTGCTAACAGCATAACAACCGCAGCCATGCCACTGTCCCAAAGGTTCCAGCCAACATCTCGGGCCTAATTCTGACGGGCTCTGACTGGATACCCATCCTTGAATCAATTACTGTCATTTAATTGACTAAATCTGCTGTGGTTGACA